ACTGAGGCAAGTGAGGCCTGCAGTTCTTTGGGTGTTGTTGTGGGGTCTTTTCTGACCTCCTGGATGAGTCGTCGCTGTGCTCCGCTTTTGAGGATCTTTTGGTCTACTTCACTTTGTCAGGCAGGTTCTGTTTAAGAGATTTCTTGATTGCGAACAGGTGTGGCAGTAATCAGGCCTGGGTGTGGCTAGAGAAATTGAACTCAGGTGTGATAAACCACAGTTTTAACAGGGGAGCAAACACTTCTTCACACAGGGCCATGTAGTTTTGGATTTTGTTTTCCCTTAATAATAAAAACCTTCATTTAAAAACTGCATGTTGTGTTTACTTGTGTTATCTTTGACTAATATTTAAATTTGTTTGATGATCTGAAACATTAAAGTGTGACAAACATGCAAAAAAATAAGAAATCAGGAAGGGGGCCAACACTTTTTCACACCACTGTTTATGCTATATCAGATGATGGTTCAATTCTGCACACATTTAAATACATTATCAAAGAGAGATTTTTCAGTGCAGTAAAAATCATGAATTAGTAATGATATAGTGATCCGTGACACATGTATCATGCCATGTAAATTATTCACATATTATTATTCAGCCTGTCTGTACAGTATGCATGCTGCAATGAGTGTGGGATGAATAAATGATGATGAAATAAATTATATGATATAGTCTATTCATACAGCATTTCACATTACTATGGAGAGAGAGAAATCCATGTTGGAGCTACGTACCCTCTGTTGACTCTGGCATTGATAAGTAAGAAAAAAGAAAGAGGACGAAGATTATATATTAGGTTAAAAAAGTTGTGTTTACTTGTGTTATCTTTGACTAATATTTAAATTTGTTTGATGATCTGAAACATTAAAGTGTGACAAACATGCAAAAAAATAAGAAATCAGGAAGGGGGCCAACACTTTTTCACACCACTGTTTATGCTATATCAGATGATGGTTCAATTCTGCACACATTTAAATACATTATCAAAGAGAGATTTTTCAGTGCAGTAAAAATCATGAATTAGTAATGATATAGTGATCCGTGACACATGTATCATGCCATGTAAATTATTCACATATTATTATTCAGCCTGTCTGTACAGTATGCATGCTGCAATGAGTGTGGGATGAATAAATGTCTATTCATACAGCATTTCACATTACTATGGAGAGAGAGAAATCCATGTTGGATCTACGTACCCTCTGTTGACTCTGGCATTGGTAAGTAAGAAAAAAGAAAGAGGACGAAGATTATATATTAGGTTAAAAAAACAAATCAGAGCTCCACTGTTCAAATCACTTCATCATTTGTTCACTTATGTTTGAGATTGTGTTCTGAAACTAGTGAGCCATCAGCAACATCATAATCATCATGGTTCTAATAGTAACTGTTTAAAGCACTCTAGGAAGCTTCAGTGATTTCAGTGGAGTTTGATATTAGCATTTCTTCACTGAGCTGAAGGAAAGAGTAAAAACACTACATACTTTTCCAAAAGTGCTAGCGCAGTGGAGGGGTTCACCCGCAGGTACTTTGAGGTGGGCTGTCCGTAGTCTGCCAGGTACGTGGACCAATCCCACACCATGAACAGATCTAGAAGCTGAATAAATTACAAAAAAAACCACAGTGTCAAAACCAGAATTTAATAACTTATAACTTGAACCAGAACCAACAGAATAGGTTGTAACACATTGAAAAAAAATACAATGAATGTAATTGCCATTTGTTTTGATTTAGCATACACTTTTATGCAAAGAGTTACAAATGAAGAAAAACGTGAACACCACAATATAATAACTAGGGCTGCCATACTTCTTGAACAAAAGAATTTCCAAGGAATTTATACAATTATACATTTGCAAAGATCCTTAAATATAATTTTACAGAGAATGCATACATAATTCAAGCCAAAGAAATATATCACAGCTGAGAATAAAGTGGAAAAAAACATTTAAAAAATATTTTATTCTCATGACTTTTCTAGGCCTGGTCAGGATTATTATACTTAAAGTATACTAAAACTAAAACCATAAAACATTAATTGAAATAAAAGAAATTTGATCTAAAATAAAATGAATATGCATTTTTCCCCCCAAAATTGATTTCAGCTAGTGGCCGAAGCAACATTTCTAATTTTCAGTTAAATTTGATGTAATAAAATAACTAAAACTTAAATAAAAATGAATATATATTTTTTATAACTCTATAGTTTTATTTAACTATAGACATATGTATAAAAAAAACAACAACAAAAACAACAACAACAACAACAACAAAATTACTAAAACTTTAAAACATAAAAAAAAAACTATATATATATATATATATATATATAGTATCTCAATAATACTAAAATAACACTGTTCTGGAAATTCCCAGATATTTTTTTACTTCTTCTATATAAGAACCCCAATCATAAGAAACAAACAATATCCAAGGTCCAAAAATAAAAAAAGAAAGTTGTTAGTTGCCCAAAGAGAAGTGTGTGAGGTCATACACTAATGGCGGGGGTTAGTATTAGGACACTTGTTGGGGAGCTGGGAGCACTTTAAATGCAAAAGGAAGAGAAATCCCTTCGTGACCTCCGGATAACCCACAGAGGAGCTAATCCTGGCTCCACGGTGCTCTGGTCAGTAGGCTCCCTGCCACTTTGCAACTCTGATTCAAAGCAAGGCTCTGGACACATTGAACTTAATTTGCTGGAGAAGGGCTAGACCAGTCACCTCTATATATGCAAATCAATATCAATCAATGGGGGACAATTCCTGGAAGGCTCGTTCATTATGGAGGGCCAGGGGAGGAGGGTTCAGGGGGCTAATAGCACTTCACACCTACTATGTGGTCCGTATTGAGGAGGTCTGTTTTTCAGACCACTATTTAGTGCTGTTTGCTGCTCCTGCTGGGCTGTGACGATATTGCTGCTAAACACACCAAGACCCTGCGGAGCATCATGGGCAACAAGATTGTGCTTGTAAATGTCAATATTTGCAGACCTTGGGCCAGGGCGATACAGCTAAATCAATTATCCCAAAAATATTTAAATGTCATTCAGGGTATACAAGATATAAGGTCATGCATTTCCTGAATAACCATCCAATGACTAGTTTGGACTGCTATGAATTAGATCTTGATGAATATTCGATAAATGGTGGGATCCTAAGATCCCAGACCACCCTGAAAATATCAAAGCAATATCTTAGATTCTGTAAGTCACTATTTAGACATCAGACAATTAGACAAACAAAAGTTTGGGATTAGTAATACTTTTTCCAGAAAGGAAGCATTAAATTGACCAAAAGTGACAAGAAACACGTTTATAGTTCAAATAAATGCTGTTCAATCGAATGCTCTATTCAAGGAATCTTGAAAAATGTTTTATGGTTTTCACAAAAACATTAAGCAGAACAACTGATTTTAACACTGATACTCATAAGAAATGTTTCTTGAGCACCAAATCAGGATATCAGAGTGATTTCTGAAGGATCATGTGACACTGAAGACTGGAGTAATGATGCTGAAAGCTTTTAGCTTTGCCACCAAAGGAATAAATTACATTTTACAATATATAAAAATAGAAAACAGTTATTTTAAAGGGGTCATATGATGTTGCTAAAAAGAACATTATTTTGTGTATTTGGTGTAATGAAATGTGTTTATGCGGTTTAATGTTCAAAAAACACATTATTTTCCACATACTGTACATTATTGTTTCTCCTCTATGCCCCGCCTTTCTGAAACGCGTCGATTTTTACAAAGCTCATCGGTCTGAAAAGCAAGGTGTGCTCTGATTGGCCAGCTATCCAGTGCGTTGTGATTGGCCGAATACCTCAAGCGTGTGACGGAAATGTTACGCCCCTTACCATACTGTGATGCCGTATCCCGGAGCGACGAGACAAAAACATTAAAACCCATTATAAACGAGGCATTTGTTGCATCCAGTGGGGACATGATTACGGATTATAATGACTAATACTCTCTTTTTACGCGTTGCGTTGCATCGTGCCGTGTAAACATAAAACCATGCATTTGTGATCGGAGAAATGACAAACAACAAGCGCTACTCTACACTGCTCAAAACTCGTGTTTGAATCATCAGTGGCAAATTCTTTAAATATAAAAAACATACTTACAGTCTGTGAGTCAGAACAGCCGGCATTGTAGTCTACTCTACCAGGATCTGGAAACAGTCCTCCATAAAATGCGCTGCACTCATCTGAATATTTGGGTGGAACTGTTCTGGAACAGTGTTGTAAATACAACTTAACCACTGATTTCTAGTCGTGTCCTCTTTTGGAAGGCCAAACAAAGTATTTATTCTCTATTTGCAAAGTATTTATTCTCTATTTGCTATTCTCTATATTCTATACTCGATCTATTCTCACGCTACTGAAAAAAGGAGTCAAGTTAGCAGCATCGCTACTTTTAGATACTTATTCGCAATGCTGGTGAAAGTGAAGAACACAGGAAAACTCAGAAATGTGCCTTCAGACATTTTAGTCTCTTTTAAGTGATGTAAGCAAGTGAATTTTTACCAGTACAAGCATCTGCAGCCCTGCACAGCATCACCTTACAGACAACAAGAATTAAAAAGTTTAAAGCACAACAGAGTAAACAAGAGCCGCTCTATTAGCTGCTGCGTGACTGGCAGGGAGACTGTGACCTCTCTATTTGAGAGCTCTAGGGTAGATCTGCATCATAATGCATGATGGGAAGGTTATCTACACGGGGGGTGGGATGAATAGGTAAATTCTGACGGCCAGCACTACACTCTCGTTATCTCTGACCTTGTCCGAGCTCACTCTGCCCGAATTGGAGCCAGAGCTCGCTGAGAGCACTTGAGAGAAGCTGTCAGCAAATCCTCCAAGAATCCAGGCAAGGATCAAAGCAGCGTCATGCTAATGGTAATCGAGAGGTCTTGGCGAGCGGCCGCAGTCGTGACACGTTGAAAGACGCCACCCCGACCGGTGCGTGCCACGCAGATCAAGCCAGAGCTTTCCCATGAACAGGTGGTGTATGTGATTCAGCACGTGGATTGAAATTGCACCCAAAAATAAAATTCTGTCATCATTTACTCACCCTCATGTCAGTCCAAACTCTATCACTTCCTTTTCTTCCGTGGAATACCAACGGTGAATTTCTGAAGAATGGACCCATTTTATATGATGCAATACCACATTTATTAACATTCATATTTATATTATTTTTAAAGCGTATCATACATTTATAACACATTTCTTATATCATTTAACATTTATAATGTTTTTTAGCTCTTTTGGAAAGTCATCGAAATGATATAGTTGATTTTTCCTTTTGCTACTGAAGCAAATGGGAATGCAAAAAAATACATTTGTTGTATTTTCTGTTCACCACTATAGAAGTTCACGCAACTATGATGACTTCCACTTCGGAGAACCTTGGAAATGTGAAAATGGTCCATATAGTGGCCACTCTTTATAATGAATGTAAATAAGGACTCAGGGTGTCAAGATCCAAAAAAGCACCAAAAAGTATCAGTAATGTGTTGTATATAAATTGTGTACTATATTCCAAGGCTTCTGAAGTCATACAATAGCATTATGTGAGGAACAGACCAAATGGGAAATAAAATTGGCTTATCTTGTAATCAAACATCATTGAAAACCTGACGTTTAAATCATATGGTCTACTTTTATGATGCTTTTAAAGATATTTTAAGAATATATTTCATGCTTTAAAGTGGAATTCAATGATCACCAAACTGATTGGTTACCATAATTCTTTCGTTTGTGTTCTCCAGAAGAAAGAAAGTCATAGGTCTGAAACTACATGAGGATTTCATTTTTGGGTGAACTATCCCTTTAAGAGCTTGAAAGTCCCAGTCCCAGTCCCCTTCGATTTTTTATGACAGGGACACCATTTTCATGGTGCGACATTTATGACAGAAATAAAAAAAAAATTCCCTTCGACAGCATCCTTAAAACTGAAGGAATACTGCAGCATGTGTGATTTGAAGACACATTCAGCTTTCTGCTGAACATAAATAAAGGTATTAGAAACCAAAGGGATTTTAAACTGAGTGCTGTTAACTCCACACCCTAATAATACTTCCTTATATGACATACCTTTGTAGAAGAAACCTTGACATGACCCCGGTTTTACACCTTAAGCACCTCAGGCCCAGATTAAAAGTTCAAACTCCAAGCAGCACAAAAAAAAAACAGGACCAAACGGAGAAAGAGCTCCTGATAGCATAATGAACCCCACTGCGACTAAGTGATTTCCCCTCCTGAAGGTAAGCATGTTCAGATTGGGATAATCCATTAGTGCCTGTTAATGCTGTATGTTCTCCACCCTTCCCCTCAGCTCACTCACAGGGACTGTGGATCAAGAATAGTCATGTCTGCACAGAGGTCTGTACCTGTCGGAGGTCAATGAAGGCCAACTGCAGTGTGTCCCCCTGGAATCCTGGCACGGGCTCTGAACTGGCAAAAACTGTGAAAGGAACAGGAAAATAATATTTAAAAAACAATTAGTTGGTGTGCGTTGTGTAAAGACATCCAATTAAACCCCTGAACAATATTTACAAAGCATTTTTGTTACCCTGAAACATTAACGAAAACTTGATAAAGCCAACATATTGAACTACTATTTATTATTATTATTACATTTCTGAGAATAAAATTTCTAACACTAAGTTGTCCTAAAACATTTAAACTGCATCCACTAAACTTGGTGCAGACTTTCAAACTATTCTGACTTGTGTTGCTGTTTATATTTGTAACTTGACTTACAGCTTTCCAAGAGCAGATGATCAAAACTGCCTATCCAACTAACTAACTAACTAAATCGCTCTCTCTCCTTCGGTTGGTCACCAAAAGGAGAATTACCCTTACAGGCATCTGTCGCAGGTTTTACTCAGGATGTCCTTCCTAACTATCTATTTAAGGTTGTCCAAAACCAGATGATCAAAACGAACTATTTAGCTAACTGATCAAGACCTATGGTTTTCCAAAATCAGATGATCATAACTAACTAACTCTATCTATGGTTTTTTATAACTATCTAAGGTTTTCTGTAACTAGAGGATAATAATTCACTCTCTATGGTTTTCTAAAACTAGATAATCATAACTTTATCTATAGTTTTCTAAAACTAGATGATCATAACTCAGTCACTCTATGGTTTTCTGAAACTAGATGATCATAACTCAGTCACTCAATTTATGATTTTCTGAAACTAGAAGATCATAACTCACTCACCCATTATCTATGGTTTTCTAAAACTAGAGGATCATAACTAACTCTATACATGGTTTTCTAAAACTACTCTGGGTTTCTAAAACTAGATGATCCCAAGTAACTAACTCATTCACTCAATCTATGGTTTTCTAAAACTAGATGATCTTAACTAACTCACTCAATCTATGGTTTTCTGAAACTAGATGATCATAACTCAGTCACTCACTCAATCTGTTTTCTGTAACTAGATGATCATAACTCACTCACTCAATCTATGGTTTTCTGAAACTAGATGATCATAACTCAGTCACTCAATTTATGATTTTCTGAAACTAGAAGATCATAACTCACTCACCCATTATCTATGGTTTTCTAAAACTAGAGGATCATAACTAACTCTGTCTATGGTTTTCTAAAACTAGATAATCATAACTTTATCTATAGTTTTCTAAAACTAGACGATCATAACTCAGTCACTCACTCAATCTATGGTTTTCTGAAACTAGATGATCATAACTCACTCACTCTATGGTTTTCTGAAACTAGATGATCATAACTCAGTCACTCAATTTATGATTTTCTGAAACTAGAAGATCATAACTCACTCACCCATTATCTATGGTTTTCTAAAACTACACTCTAAAAAATGCTGGGTTGTTTCAACCCAGCTTTGGGTAAAATATGGACTAACCCAGCCATTGGGTTAAATTTTTACATTAAATTTTTAACCCAAAAGTTGGGTTAGTCCATATTTGACCCAAAGTTGGGTTGAAACAACCCAGCATTTTTTAGAGTGTAGATGATCACAACTAACTCTATCTATGGTTTTCTAAAACTGATGAATGCTGGATAAACCGTAAGAATCAAGTGTTCCAGAAAGCTTTGTAATAGAGTATGACCATTTATGAGAAGAATAATTTGTGTTGTTCAGTGAACTACACTGGTTTAAAGTTTGTGCAGCCAGCTAAGACATTTTCCTCACAAAGATTTTATTAATGATAACAGACCTACCATGAGCCCTGAGATCACATCACTGTGTTCGTGTGCACTTACAATTGATCTACAGTGTTTTTTAGTTTTTTTGCATAGTTGAGCTGCAGTCTTTAAGTATACAAGATGCAAAATTAAATATTTTAAGGACTAAATTCATGTTGCATGTCACCTCTGTCCTTTAGAGCAAGTGCACTGAGGCCACGTGTGGTCCCATTAATGTGTATGTATGCTGGACGAGGCCAAACTACAAAAACAGGACTGGTAAGATTTCAGTTGGAGTGTTTTAAACATTTAAAAAAGACAGATTACTGTTTCAGTCTGAATGAAAGTGCATGTATGACCTTGATTACATCCCAAATGCATGTGACCTCACATTTCCTACATCTCCCTGTCAACTATCCACTGACACACTATAAATTACAATTCAGACAAATCAGACTGTAAACTCACAACTTGGGATAAGTATTCCTATGGGCGAATCTTAACTGTCTGTGTTTTGACTAGAGTAAGATAAGCTGCCGCTAATGGGACAAACACCATTCAGACCTTAGAAAAGGGTCAGACATTCCCTGCCGTACCTGTGCGGTTGAACCCTCATAAACTCTAGACATCTGTGGCCTGAGGCAACAGATACGAGCATGCACACACACAGCCTTTCCCTTCTGCTGACAGTAGCGTGACTGAAACCTTAAATGACTGAGGAGTAGAAGATAGAACCAAAGAACTGTCCACATATTAACATTATTGATGAACGCTGTGCTCTGACATCTCTATTGTGCCATTCAGAACCAAAGAGGCTTGTGGACTTCCCCAGGGAGATATGAAACCTCAATGAGATCAGTTTCTGCATTTCACAATATCATAGACACTTGAGGATCTTTTGACTTGGGAAAGAAACATTTTAAGGTCAGCTCCATAAATGGTCGGGTCTGTTTTCATAATTCTGAAGTCCAATAAATTTCAGATCAGGATGAAGCCATTAAGCCCAATGGAGATCAGCAGAAATGTGCTCCGTTCCTTAAAAATGTGTCATATGCTATTTTAGACATATGCCTAAAAGCAGTAATTACGATGTCTAAAGCAAATCCACATACACACACACACACACACACACACACACACA